AATGGTGGCCACCCAAAAAGTCACACCAAGTCACAGACATTAGCCATCTGCCTGTTGGCCACTGGGCTCCAGCTTTATTTTCCTGAGCAAGGTGGAAATTTAGACTTTTTAAAAAATTTTATTTATTCATTCATTTATTTTAATTTGACCAGAGAGAGATACACAGAGCAAGAGCAAGAGGGAAAGTGAGAAAGCAAGCCACCAGGTCCGGTATTCGAACCACAGTCAGCCATGTGGGAGTGTCCAGCGCCTTAACCACCACGCCACCTGCTGGTCCCCAAAATTTAAACTTTCATCTAAATTCTTCATATGTGACTTTCATATAATATTTATTTTTATTCAAAATTTTATATATACTTGTACATTTCTGTGTGTGTGTGTGTGTGTGTGTGTGTGTGTGTGTATGTATCCATGTGCACAGCCTAGGAGCATTTTGTTCCTATCATGAAAAGAGAAGACTCTGTCAGGAGTCAAACCGTGAAGCGGAGTGGAACCTACAGGTGTAGTGTTTGTATTTGGAAAGTGAACATTGTAGTTTTGTTTGTTTGTTTGTTTTTTGTAGAGGTTTTAGCTGTAGGGCATGTGCCCTCACCAGAGAGAGAGGATAGACAGCGAGAGGGGAAGTGAGAAATCACCCGAGGGGATGGCCACACTGCAGTTCCTTCTCCTCCATTCTCCTCCCAGGGTTCTGGACACGCACATACATGTGCCCAGTGTGAGCTTCAAGCCACCAGGTCTAGGACTCAAACTGTGGCCGGCCATATGGGAGTCCAGCAAGTAACTGCCACATCATCTGCTAGCTCTGAACATTTTCGTTTTTACATGAAATCTTTCACTGAATTCAAACAATGTGTGATGTCTTCAACAACGTGTACTACAAAGAAACTATGTGTGGATTTCAATGTTTTTTGCACTAAAATAGTCACACTTTAAATTCCATTTTTCCACAATCTCTGTTTGAATTTTCTTTTTTAATGATAATGTATATGCATGAGAGAAAGAAGCACCTATGACAAGGTCTTGTCACACAACAATCTCCCTCCCCAGACCTCCAGCTCCTGAGGATACTGGGTGCCTGTGTGTGAGCCTACTGGGTTTTTTTTTTTGGAGAGGTTTTCCCTATAGGGCACGTGCGCTCGCCAGACAGACAGAGAGAGACATAGAGACAGAAAGCGAGAAATCACCCCCCAG